AATCCACTTCCTCAAAAGTACCAACCAGCGTGCCTTTTTCTATAATCTGTTCCCGGTCACAAAGGTTCAGCACACGTACTCCTGAGTTGTCAGTGGTTCTGACCAAGGTTCGAGCTACTTTCCATGGAAGGTCATTGTTTACCCTTTCCCCAAGTACACAACGGTGAGCTTGCCCAGCGTTTCGGGGAAGACTAACCGGAACAATCGTTTCCGATCTTGGCGGAAGAAAAATCTTCTTAATGCTGTACACGTTACCTGGTAACGCACCTTCCATAAAAAGTTCCTCCTGTCCACATTTCAAAACACCTTGCTTAACGTCGATCTCACAACAATTATTCCTCATAAAGTCTAGGCCCAGGATGCAGTCGTCCATTATATCAGCTACGATGACATTATGCAGGTAGATCATGTTGCCTAGCTTCAACTCCATCTCTTTCTCTCCACGGACGGGTATACGCTGACCTTTGGCTGTTACCAAATTAATGCATTCTCGGTTGTATGCGGAGTCCCCAAGGAACTGACTTATAAGTTGGGAACTAACAATCGTACGAGAGGCTCCAGTATCTATGGTCAGTTTACACGGCATTCCGTTGACCTCGCCCTTGATGATCAGACTGTTCGAATCATGGGTTTGTGAGATCGAGATCCTTGGGGCTTTTTTAACATCAGCCAGCACCCGCCCCGCAGTTCTGGCTTTTACTCGTTTCCCTGCTGCTGCTGGGTGGTGCTGTTAGCCGCACTACCCTCTCGAGATCGATCAACTTCCCTTTCTACAGTTCGCTTAGGGCAGCTGGATCGAAGATGGCCCCTTTCCCCACAGCCATAGCACCTAAGGCTAATGTTGCTATGGTTTCCACTTACTTTTCACGTGCTACCGGCAATCTTCATTACCGGCAAGTTGCGGTCGCAAACTGTAGCTGCTGCAACCTCCCTGACGCGATGGGAACGATGATCCTGCCGCACGGCTTCCACCTCCAGTGCATGGGCCAAGGCGTCCTTAAGCATCTCATGGTGCCCGAGCCTCACAGCAGCTCTGACTTCCAGGTCGCGGATGCCGTCGATGAATGTCTGCACCAGGTTCCCTTCAATGAGCGCAGGTACAGACCGGTATGCTATTCGCACCAGCTTCTCTACCCCTAGAGCCTACTGCTGCAGGTTTTCGTTGATGCGCTGCACGCGAACTTATAGCTGCGCACGAAAGACGTGTTCCAGTTGGGCGTCACCATATCTCGCCTCCAATGCCTCAAGGAGTTGCTCATAAGTCACTTCCTCACCGAGAACTTCCAGAACTGTTAAGGCCTGGTCGCGTAGGCCTAGTGGGAGAGCAGTCATGGCTTGACTTTTATTCCAGCCGTTCGCCTTCATAACAGCCTCGAACTGGATTTTGTACCTTGACCCCACGTAGCGAAGGTTTAGTAGCTACTACGGGAGCTGTAGTTCCATCCCCCAGTTTGAGGTTGTCCAGCGTTTTCTTCACGTCAGCCATCACGTTGTCAACCCGATTGTTCACTTGGTCGATTTGGGTTTTAGCTTCCTTGATTTGGGTTTCAGCTTCCGACAAGCGGTTGTCATGTTGAGCAACCCTATCCTTCACCTCCCTTATCTCTTTCCCAAAGGTAGCGTGAAGGTCCTTCATGAGGAGCATCTGCTCTTCCGACCGACGAGCCTGTTCCGCCTGCTGATCTTCCAACCAGCGAGCCTGTTCCTCATGTCGGCGGGCATGTTCCTCCTGTCCGCGCTGCAGCTGCTCTTCCAACCGACGGACCTGCTCCTGCAGCATCACCATCAGAGCGCCTAAGTCAGGTGCTGCAGATGCAGGAGCTACTGACGGACCGGCCTCTGTTGCCGGCGGCTGGCTCTCCAACGTCTGAGGCGTTGCACCACCAAATCGTCTCTGTTCCGTCTCATGCTGGCGTTGACTGCGGGTACGGACATCCTCCGTTTCCACCTTAGGTCAAATCGGCATGATTTTATCCCACTTCAGACACCAATTGTTACGAGCTTGAGGTTCGTAACAATAAAATTGCCGATAAAATTTCCTAAATTAACACTTTAATTTTCTTTACATCAATTAAAACCTAAAATACTAATAATTAATCACACTGATTCACTTTATTTCGCTCTGAAGCTTCGCTTGTCTCGCCAAATTCAATACTTCCCCGATGGTGGCAGGCTGCGGGTTTAAATACACTTTTTTCATTGAAACGTCCAGAACATTCAAGTTAATACGCGCGCCAACCGACCAGGTGCCGAAAGTTCGAGTGTAGTGCTTCTAGAAAGTTTAGTTCTTCAATTCGATACTAGATGGCACTGTCGGTTGAAAGATTAGTTATGTCATTTTCTGGAAAGCTCTCTCCATGCTCTGTTACCCGACACTAGATGGCGCTAGTGCCAGATGTCAACTTAGCCGCGCAACACTGTCCAAAGACATGCTCGTCCCGAGCATTATCGGCCCCATAATAACGCGCCAGGTGATCCACATGGATGATCTTAGGAGTCCCTCTTGCGCCTTTCTGTAACGGCTCCGCAATGTCAAAGGCTGTCCTATCCCATGGTGCACCAATCGACAAGGCGCCGAAAGGTCTAGTGTCGGCTTCACTGTCAGTTGAAAGATTAGTGATGTCATTTTCTGGAAAGCTCCCTTCGCTCTCGTCCCTGACGCTAGATGGCGCTAGTGCCGGGTACATGACGTCAACTTAGACGCGCAACACTATTATTTGCTGCTTGTTCCAGCTGGTTGTTGGTATTTTTCTCATTTAGATCACACAGTTTGTAGTACAGTTTAAAGTACTTATAAACATTGTAAAGTACGCGTGTCTCTCCGCTATTGATTATTGATCCACTTTTATTCTTTCTAATAGGTGAGGTATTCATTTTCAAAATTTAATGTTGAACGAGTAACACGCAAAATACACAACCGTTTTGTTCGAAGGCCTGACTTCAACTGGTCACTGTGAACTCCACTTCCTAATTTCTTGCGTTTTAATTGGCCGGGGGGCGTGGCCAGGCCAGCGGACAACAATGACTCATTATTTTCTCAACGCGAACGGACTATAGTACTTGATTATTGACATCTGTCAAATGGGACTTCGTAATTGGAATAGAGTATAGAGTAATTCGGTCACTAGAAATGAATGATTGACACTTGTCTACGGTACTTGATGGGATTTGACGAGATTATAGTGTTCTCTACAATAATGGTGGTTAATATAGCGCAAAGCGCCATATTATAGCGCGCTATCTCTTCATAACGCATAGCGCGTGGTATGTAAGTAGTCACCATGGCGCTATGACGCTATGACGCTTTGGCGCTATTCATATCAAGCGGCAATTAGTTCTAGCAGCAGCGCTGTTGGGAGTAGACGTGTGACGCAAATTTAATCTAGCAGTACGCTATTCATCACACGCGAACTAATTTAATGTTAGACGTTATTTAGTTAGTGTGTACTGTATATTTATAAGTGATCGAAGGACACAGTTGACTGCTACAACAGAAGCCTAATTAATGTTTTTAAATGTAAATAAAATATAGATACAAAAGTGTATATAATAGTGTTTGTAAACAGTTGATTTTTGTATACACAATTAATAAACTTTTAAATACACCTTTGATTTATAATTTATAATAAGGTTAAAATAACGTTTACATCAATTATAATAAAAAATGATTAATTTTATTTTGTTTTAAAAAGTACACTCCTTAAATTTTCCTTTTATTTTTAGGATTATTAAAAGTCTGAAAAGTATGAAAGAGCGTTCTTTAAGTTTTCTTTACCACTTTATTTTATTTTAATCTAAAATGCGACTTATTACGAAACAATGTTCTTATATAGCACGCGGTCTATCCAATGAATGACATGTAATGTGGCGTGCTCCGAGATATAGCGTGCTGCTAATCTTAACGCGCTCGCCAGCCTCCTACACACCTTTTTTTGTAAATAGCGCGCTATAACATAGCGTATTTAATAGCGCGCTAGAAATTTTTAGTTTATAGTATGTAGCGTGCTATTGATTTATAGTCGTTTTGAACAACTTTTCTCTACAACGGGAGCTATATTTTAATGTTGGCAACACTGCAAGTGACAGCTGACAAAATGGGTGCGTTTGGCAGAAAAAAGCGCTAGCAAGCGCTTATAAGCGCTGAAATAGTTTTCGGCCAGGACACGATTGCTATTTCAGTAGCGCTGACACAATCCGCCATTTTGCTTATTTAATTTGTTTGTTTTGAAGTATAGTTTATAAGTTGTTTTGTGAAATATTAGTTTTAAGTAATATAATGACATGAATAAACATATACATGTTATTAAAAATTCATGATTGATAAGTATTTAATATGAATACCTTACAAAGATATATTTAAATTAGGTTAGGTTCCCCGTTTAAAACTAACATCGTGTCCTGGAGGAAAATAGCTACTTACGATTTGACAGCGCTTACCGCTTACGATCGCCATTTTGCTTACAAGCGCTTGCCAGCGCTTTTTTCTGCCAAACGCACCCAAAGTCTTTTGTTGTCTTTTGTGCTGTGAATTATTTTTAAAATCTTTCATTTCTATTAATAAACCTATATAAGATTTTGATACGATATGACGATATCGTAACAATTTAAAAGGGGCACTCACAGCAAAGAGGTGTTGTGTTTATATTACTAAAACGTAGTATGTGTTAGAGCTGAAATTTTAAAATGTTTATATTTACACGTACTGTTATGCCGCTTAATCGTGTATTTGTGCTTTAAAATTTGTTATATATGAACATAAAAATAAAAAGACACTATAGTTTTATTCATAGAACATTAACCTTTCAATATAGGGCAACTATGAGTGTCAACAATGTGAATCAACATTCGGATGTTGATAAGATCATAATCTTTTTTTTTCCTGATTAAACCTACGGATATGTTAATTTTATGTGAAAGAAGATTGTGTGTGTTGTGTTTAGAACAATTGTGAAAACTTATCACATTTTATTGGTGAAGTGTTAGTGTAAGATACAGTTATAATGCCTGGAAAAATTAAAGTTAAAGTTTTAGCTGGACGCAACTTGCCGGTAATGGACCGAGCAGGCGATACGACTGATGCTTTCGTGGAGATCAAATTTGGGGGTATTACCCACAAGACTGATGTCTGTCGGAAGTCTTTGAACCCCCATTGGAGTAGTACTGAGTGGTATAGGTTTGAGGTAATATTAATATTTATGTGAATAAGTATTATGTTTATAATTTTAAAAATCTTGATGTATCATCCTTTAAATATTATGTTTTGTTAATTTAATCGGAAGAGGACCATCAGGTTCCTGTTTATACTACTATGATAATGATCTCTCCTGATTTTGTTCATTATAATCTTAAATGAGCATATGCAGCTTAATAATATGATATAACATGATAATGCACAAATATAAAGCTTTTAATTTTTCTTATTGTATTACATTGATTGATTGATATTGACTATGCACAAATTGTGTAGTTAAACCATCATTGAAATTGTTTGAAGTGGTATCTCCTACATGTCAGTCAAACTGAAGAGTCAGATGATTTTCTCAGGGATCGCATCATTATCTTGAATAAATTTTTTTGCTAAGTACCACATTTCTCACAAAAAAAGCACTGAAACTGACAAGGTGCTAAAGAACTATTGCTGAACATATTATATAAAGAAAACATGGGTTGGCTATATACGTCCAGTACTTGATTTTAATAATGTTTTTAGTTTAGGAGGCTTGTTAGGGTTAAGCTTGAACTTATTACACTGTTTTTAGATATCGTAAATACGTTTTGAATTAATTACAATAAAAAAAATCACTAGAAATTGTTTAATAACAAAATGCAGATATGTCAATTTAGTCCAGTATTATGAAGTAGACGTCCAGTACTTCATTTTTTAATTTTCTTTTCAATTAAGGAGGTTTTGTCGGGGTTAAGCTCGAACCTTTTACACTGTTTGAATGAATTAATAATGAATAAATATGAAATTTGAAATTTCAGTAAAAATTGCTTGTAACGGAAAGCAAATATGTTAATATGGATATTAAGTAGACATTCAGTACTTAATAATTTAATTTTGTTTTCAATTTAGGTTTGTCAAGGTCAAGCTTGAACCTTTTAGACTGTTTGTGTATTTTAATTAATTATGATAAAAAAAAATTTATTTAAAATTGCATATAACGAAACGCAAATATGTACAGTTTTTTTTTAATACAGATACACCCATAAAAAAGTTAATCACTCGAACCCAGACAATCCATTTGTGGCCTAAGACGGGTCTCATAAACAACTAATTGGGCCGCATTGGAGAGTAGTCAAGAGGTGTTTCGGAAAAATTATAACAATTTACATTATATTGTTGCGTTTACCACTGTCGTAGCAGAATTTTATATTTGATAGAGCTACACTGTAGCTCAGTCAGGACTGGGGAAGGACCACTCTCTCACAAACAGTGGGAGAGCTACGTGGCAGCCTTTGCTGTTGCACAGGGCCGGCTCAAACCGGGGTGATACCACAACCTCACAGAAGACCAGCGTGAAGTAGAGGCTTTGCTTCTGCGTTTTGGTCTGGTGAGTGCAGGTGGCTGGAGGCCCAATATCCCTCTCCCCCCCATCAACTTGCTAGCGGAATTATATGCAAGACTCCCAGGAGGGTACCAGCACCCCTGGAGAATCCCTCGCTGAGTATCTACGACCAAGCTACTCCACTTCTAAACGTGGGTGCTCAGGCTGCCCCGCGTATTCTTGGGGGAGCTGAATTCTGCTCGAGACTAAACCTTCTCGGGGCAAACGGAGCAATAAGTCAAAGGCGACCCAGCTACGCTATCCGTGAATTTCTGCAACATTAGGGGACTTCATTCAAAACTTAACGCCATCCACTACCATCTGGAAATGGCGATGCCGGCCTTGCTCTTTCCAACCGAGTCACAAATGTCGTCTCCGGCTGATACTTCGTATCTCTCCTACCCGAGGTACAAATTAGAATACTCCTTTGTGTCTCGGGCTGGAATTTGCGTGTATGTCAGGGAAGACATCTGTTTCGACGCCTCGGCAGCCTTGAAGGTCGGACCTTTCCATCTTATGGCTGCGCATAGACAGCTATGACCATCCCCGCGTCTACGGGTACCTATATAGGTCCCATAGCGGTAATGCCGGAACAGACCGACTCATCAGCCACATCCAGATGGCTACAGACTCCGTGCTACAACAGATCCCATACGCAAAGATCTGGTGATTTATACTTGGTGATTTATATGCCCACCACGCTGAATGGCTTTGTTCTCGTTTAACCATTCATGCAGGTAGATCTGTTTATGACTTTGCTTTGGCATATGGTCTGACACAACTGGTTACCTCTCCTACACGGATCCCAGATGTGAAAGACCATGTACCTTCCCTGTTGGTCCTTCTGCTGACCTCTCATCCAGACGGATATCAGGTCTCCGTCGATGCCCCTCTTAGCTCCTCGGACCATTGTCCGATCCGGAGTACGGTGACACTAACGCCCTTGTCGCGATTTCGTACTGCAGGTTGCCGCCGTGTTTGGCATTATAGGTTACCAGATTGGGACGGGATGCGATCTTTATTTTGCATCCTACCCTTGGAGGCGGGTTTGCTTCTCGCCGGATGATCCCAGCGTTGTTACTGATTCTGTCGCTGATGTGGTACTACAGGGAATGGAACTTTTTATTCCATCATCTGTGGTACCTATCGGAGGCAGAACCCAGCCTTGGTTTGGTCGCTCCTGCAAAATTGCACTACATCATAAGCAGTGGTGCTACCAGGCCTGGGCTCGCGCGACGTCGTCTCGGGATGCAAATACCAGCGCTCTTAAAAAGAAGTACAATTCTGCTTCCAGGTCCTTCAAAAGTGTCATTGTCAAGGCAAAGTCAGAGCACATCGGCAGAATTGGCGAGAAACTAGTTCGTCTTCCTTCGGGAACACGTGCATTCTGGTCTCTCGCCAAGGCTGTCCAAGGGAACTTCTGTCAGCCATCTCTCCCATCTCTGCACAGGGAGGACGACTCACTGGCCCATGCCACAAAGGACAAAGCCTATCTACTGGACTCTCTCTTTGCGTCCGACTCGACTCTTGATGACATGGGGAACACACTGCCGATCATCCCGCGAAATGAGTGCTCCATGCAGGATGTCCTGTTTACTCAACGCTCAGTGCGCAGAGCAGTCCTCTCCTTGGAAGTCAACAAGTCGAGTGGGCCAGATGGCGTCCCTCCTATTGTGCTGAAGACGTGTGCTCTGAAGTTGGCACCGGTTTTAACGCGTCTTTTCCGGTACTCCTACTCCCTTGGTGTAGTCCCGAAATCGTGGAAGACAGCTTTCGTGCAGCCGAACCCTAAAAAGATAACCGCTCTAATCCGTCCAACTATAGGCCTGTCGCCATCACCTCCTTGTTCTCTAAAATAATGGAATCCATTATTAATAGCCAGCTCATGCGGTACCTTAAAGATCACCAGCTGATTAGTGACCGCCAGCACGGTTATCGTCGCGGTCGCTCGGCTGGTGATCTTTTGGGTTACTTAACTCATAAATGGGCGGAGGCAGTAGAGTCAAAAGGGGAAGCGTTGGCCGTTAGTTTGGACATAGTGGTGGCCTTCGATCGTGTTTGGCACAAAGCGCTTCTTACGAAGCTTCATTCCTTTGGGCTTCCCGAGAAATTGTGCAATTGGATCACCAGTTTTCTTGCTGATTGAAGCATCAAGGTCGTAGTAGACGGTGCACGCTCTGATTACAAGCCCATTAACGCTGGCGGTCCACAAGGCTGCGTGATATAACCAACGCTGTTTCTTCTGCATATGAATGACATGTTGCAAACCGGTAACATTCATTGCTATGCAGACGACAGTACTGGTGATGCTTTATAAGAGTACACCGGCCGTGCCAATATTTCTCGGGAAAACGTCGCTGATTACCGGGACAAGCTTGTGTCTGAAGTCGAAACTTTGTTGAACGAAGTCTCGGACTGGGGGTGACTAAATCTTGTCCAGTTTAATCCCCAGAAGACACAAGTTTGCGCGTTTTCCCCCAAAAAAAACCCCTTCGTCGTATCTCCTCAGTTTCAAGGCGCTCCCTTTGTTGCCTAAGCCAGTATCAGAATCCTTGGCGTCGACATATCGAGTGACGTGCAGTTTCGTGGTCACTTGACAGAGAAGGCCAAATTGGCCTCTAAAAAGCTTGGCATGCGCAGCAGAGCGGGACAGTATTTCACGCTGACTCACCGCCTGCAACTTTACAGGGCGTAGGTTCTGCCGCACATGGAATACTGTTCCCATCTTTGGGCTCTTTCCGATCAGCTTGACTCACTGGGACTGCGAAGAAACTTAGGGACCTTTAAGGAAAGAGCCTGCTCCTTTTTTTGAATGATTTTATCACATTTAATATATAACAATTAATTTAAGTTAAAGGTTAAAATTATCTACAACCGTATTATTTAACAAATAATGTGAAATTATATACCTTTGTGAAGAGAAAAAAATAAAATGATTTATCAGTTGGATAGTTTGCGTGTTAGTCACACGTATTCTATAAAAAAAAAAGAGTTTAAGGCAACCTGACTTAATAGATATAATTGGTCAAATCTGTTCTACAACTGAATCAGCACGCCCCGACTCCACTTAGTCTTGTCTGTCCCTAGAGTGTTTTTGTAAAACCTCACGGAGCCAAACGCGAGGAGGGAGCCGCAGCGCCAACGCTGTTGCAGAAGTAACATTGTGTCAATATTTCTGTGTAAAAAGTGAGGTTATGATTTTACAAAAAAAATCATTACTCATAAACTAGATTTCCGCAAGGCGAAAGGGTAGGGAGAGCTTCTCATGTACCAAAATGCTCCACCCCACCCCCTTCGCCACCGTATGCAAGTACCGGATGTCTATAGTTTTACCAAAAACATGTGTGCAGTTCACACACAGTAGAAGTGAAGAAACCTTCAAATAGGAAACTGATATAATGGGAAGCACTGTATATTGTATTCTGCCTCATTCTCTTGCAGGCTAAATCCTTGATGAAGGGTGGATGAGCCAGTCCCACACCAGGAACCAGTTGTAAACCATTTCACTCTTCAAATCTAAATGTTAACCTTCTTTTAAATTTCCCAGCATTTGTTTTACATTTGGTAGCCTTGTCTTCTACTTATTATGTAATCATAACCAAAGCGATATACACACCATCTACATCAGTAAA